ATTCTCCCTTTTTCGATTGGACTCCCCCTGTTGTCCATCAGGGTGACGCACAATGCAGATTTGCCTAATAAGATGCAAGGTGAAAGTTGCAACCTTCAGTTTTCCTACCATTGTTCATTCAGTTACTTGTTGCAACACCGGTGGGAGGCCAGGTTCTGAACGGGGTTGAAACGAATAGGGAAGCCTCATAGCCTTTGGCTTGGGGGGGTGGGGTTTAATAGAATTCTGTAGGAGAGCTAAAAGCAATAGGCCTCAGAGCAAGAGCAATGGGGGTGGGTGTTTCAATGCGGTTTAGGGAGCGAGATGGAGCTCAGAGCAGGGCGTATTCAGAGCAATGAAGATCTCAATGTTATTCGGAGCAAGAGGGTCTCATGGCAGGGGGCTCTGGGAGCAGCGGGACTCCAACCAATAGGGCTCTCGGAGAAGTGGGATGAAGGGTAATACCGTGGCTCCCTCCAAACTCTTTGTTGTTGGACAATCCTTTTCTACGTGGATTTTGTCATTTCTGAAGTTTCCCTTATTCCTATTCCAATCCAAGTTATAATATAAACAGCATAAATAAATCCAATTTAATACTCGTAGTACAGAATATGAGTGTCGTTGGTTGGGGGGTGGAATGTTTTGGTGAAGCTTTCTGCCTTGCGCACTTCAGGAAATCTTGTAAGATATGCCTGTGTAAATGGAAAACAGCTAAAGATACTTTGTGGTTGAGTTTATATCTATGCCTGAATGTGAGCACAACATATCTCATAGATCTTGTAATGTCAGCAGTAGTATGTGATATTAAATCATTTAGTATTCATCTGCTTCTTACATGAATGTAAAGATTCCCATTTCATTATTCTGAAAAGGAACAAGGGACCTTTTCCCAATGTTCTGGCTAATATTTATCCCTCAATCATTAAGCTAAAAGGAGAAGGGAATGTGGAGCTTTTTGTCTTACAACCATCAAGATTAGGATCCAAGAAACAGGATTGGAGACATGACGCTAACATACAGCATTCGAAAAGAGTGCTGATTGGGCCATCATTTTTCTCGATTTTGAAACTTACCAGTATGTAGCACACGCACAACTTTCGCTAACATCGCTTGTCCCAACATTTCCCAGAATATGTACAGTGTGAGGAGGTAACCATAGCACCCAAGCCCTGAGGCCTGGGGCCTGCATGGAGCACAATATTCCATGTAGTCTGAGATAACAAGGTGTAGAGCTGGATGAATAGAGCTGGATGAACACAGCAGGCCAAGCAGCATCAGAGGAGCAGGAAAGCTGACGTTTCGGGCCTAGACCCTTTTTCTGAAGA